GCCCCACCCCACCGCCATCCTACCCCCACCCCCGTACCGCCATCCTACCCCCCACCCCCACCCCACCCTACCCTACCTTGGCCCCACCCGGATCTCGGGCCCACCTTACTGCCATCCTATCCCAACTCCCTAACCTACCCCTACCTTACCTCAACCCCAAACCCTACCCACTACCCCCCACCCTTACCGCCATCCTACCCCCACCGCCATCCTACCCCTTTCCCTACCCCAGCCCCACCCTGGTCCTGACCCCACCCTACCGCCATCCTATCCCAACTCCCTACCCTACCCCAACCTTACCCCAACCCCAAACCCCACCCACTACCCCCACCCTTACCGCCATCCTACCCCCACCCTACCCCGTCCCCACCTTTGTCCCGACCCCGCCCTACCGCCATCCTATCCCAACTCCCTACCCTACCCCTACCTTACCCCAACCCTACCCACTACCCCACCCTTAACCCTAACCACGACCATAACCCACCCACTACCCCACCCAATCCCCTACCCCTAGATCTTACCACCCCTCCCCGACCATACCCCTTACCCCACCCCCATCCATAACTTCCCTACCTGACCCCTACGAGTAGGTATGGGTGAGTATGAAGGGTTGTGGTGGAGTATGGGTAGAGTGTAAGATCGTGGTAGGGGTAGAGGTAAGGGTCAAGGGTGTGGAATTGGAGAACTGTGTGAAAAAATTGATGAACATGTTTTCAAATTTGAAAATGGAAAACTAAAAAATAGAAACAGAAAATTGGAGATAGAAAAACTGAAAAATAAAAACAGAAAATTGGAGAATGAAAAACAGAAGTAGAAAACAGGAAAATATTTCTGTTAGTAAACAGGCCCTTAGTGTCTAATCTGAACTTCCTTAAAAACGTTAATGTCATTTTTTATCTTTCTCCAATAGAATTTTACATATGATATACTCCATATATCAAATTTAACTTCTTTATTAATATCTTGGGAGAGTTCCCGAAATAAGATTAAACATGTTTTGGAATTCCAAATTATAACTTTTATGTTTTTCATAATAGCCGATTTCTCAATCCTCGTTCCAAGATCCATCCTGATTTCAATTGAAATCAATATAGCATATGTAATAATTTTTTTTTGAAAGAATAGCATATGTAATATTAAAAATGTAAAATAAGCGTATGACTAATAATGTCTCAGCAAAATTATTTTCAATTATAAGATAAAAGTTATAATTATTATTTTCATGCATTTTGTATTGATTAATTATTAATTGGAAACGGAGATTTTTTAAGGAAAGGAAACTTAATTAAAAGGAGCAAAAGAAAGTACAATGAAAATGAAAACAACAAAAAAGAAAAGCAAATAAGGAGCAGGTAATAGTGTAATACAACTATAAGTAGCCCAATCTTAGGTATAAAACAACCCAAGAAATCCAAATAGCTCAATCTAGATTGCAGAAGTCCAAGCGTGATTGGGATCTGGTTCTCATAATATGCGAGCGTTGATGCTTCTGTCCGAATAACATATTGTTGAGAAACTCCTTTTTAGACGCACATAATTCATTCTCTTCAGTAAATGACCAATCCATTAAAGGCCGATATAGGGAGGAACTGGAGGGTCTTGGCTCCCAAATCTTAATATTTACGGAGTACTCCGTATAATTTAATACTAGTATCTATGTATGAAAATTTATAAAAGAATATGCTAATGTTGCAACTGATGTCCATTTACAATAACACGCAAAATGGTTAAATGTGGAGAGAAAATATTACTCCATACTAATTTGTTTTACATTTAAATAAAATAGTTTGTGTGAGATTATATGACCTGCTAGTAGTCATATTTTTAACATTGACATGTAATTAATAAAAATATTGAAAAACATTATGACTAATAGGCCAATAGCAACGTAACTCAAGTAATACTCACGGAGTGTTCGCAACAGCTTAAAAAAAGCATTTATCAGTTTTTGACTTAAAAAAACACTTATTTATCAAACACTGCCAATTTTTACTTTTTCTCAGTTTGCGTGTGAAAAGTGTTTTTTCCCTTTTCTGTTACACAAAAAGCACTTATTTTACCATACACTACCAACTTTTACTTTTTAAAATAACTTTTTTCTCAATCACTATAAACTTTTACTACTAATCACTTTTTTCTTACATCTCCAAAAGTGCTTTTTTAAGCAGAAGCAGTTGCAAACACTCCCTCAATGATTTCAGGATCGGAATTCTAGACTAGAACCTCCGCCTGGCTGCTGCCTTTTCAAGTGGGTTTCATTGAATTTTTTTATGAAATTTATTTAAAGTTTAGATTATATACACCAAATTTCAGCTAAAAAATCAATCGAGAAGTTAGTTAAATAATTTTTTAAAAATAACTTTGTTTTAATGTATATTTTAGCGCAGTTAACTTCAAAATTTTATTTAACTAACTTTTCGATTAAATTTTTATCTGAAATTTGATGGATAACATGCTCAAAAAAAATAATCAAAAAATTATACCTCAAATGGTGGAATCCGGTCCACCTCAAAATGGTAGAATCCGGTTGGCAGTTCCCATGAGGATGTCCATACCAGAAGATTACCTTCGTCCCAAAAAACTTTGTCATTTTATAAATCTTGAATCATGATTTTGATTAGGATAATATTACGGAAATGTTAAATTTTATACTTTTATGAAAGTATAATTTGAACAAAGAACATTTTTCATATAATATTTATATTATAAATAATTTCCAATAAAAATTTATAGTTGATCAAAGGTTTGAAAATGACAATTTTTGGGATGGAGGTAGTATATGCAATCGATGTTCTTGTTATGATTCCTCACCAACTCATTTTTGTATTCAAGTTGAATGTGGTGTGGATAGGGCTGTGCATTAACCGGGTTGGACCGTATTTTAGACCGGAACGGACCGGAACCGGTCCGGTATTAACCGGTCCGGGTTTCGGTCCTTAGTTTTTCAAGATTCCGGGTTCCGGGTTCCGGTCCGGTCCGGGTCAAACCCGGAAAAAACAGGTCCAGACCGGAATGGACCGGTAACTTAATTTTCGTAAAATATATACTTTGTTCTATATCATTAGTCATTATGTTTATGGCTTACTTTTGTCTTTTATTATACATGTAAACGAATATATACAGAGTGTATTTTTGATGTCTAATTATTTCTTAAGTTGTTTTTTATTTGTTTATTTATGTGCATGTGTGCACTATTAAATCGTAGTTTATATTTTTTGATTTTTCCGAATTCTTTTTATTTGTTTCTTTATTTGCAGGTGTGCATGGAGTTTATACGTAGTATATTTTTGGATGTAATTTAGTTTTTATTACCGTACAATAGATTTTTCCATTGTAATATACAAAAAAAATTGTAGTTTTATTTATTGTGGGAAACTAATTGTTACGATCGAATAGTTTTGATGACTACATCCCAAAAATAATAAATGAGCTAAACAATTATTTAGTCTATTTAGCATATCTGAACATAAAATTATAGTTTAAAACAACATCAACATCCAAGCCTCATTCCTAAAAAAAATTGGGGTCAGCTAAGAACACTCTAAGATAATATATCTTTTTAACACCGGGCCAATTAGGGTCAAAACCGGACGGGACCGGAAAATTCAGGTCCGGATCGTTCTGGACCGGTTAGATTCAGGTCCGGTCTTCGGCCCATAGAGAATGATGATTCTGGTTCCGGTCTTAACCGGTTCTGGTCCGGTCCGGTTTTGGACCGGTGTACACCCCTAGGTGTGGATTTGTAGAGAATATAAAACGCCTATAATAGTGGGTAGGTATTTCACCCCATTTTACAACGTGATTTTTTTTTTTTATTGTCTTCAAGCTCGTTTAGCAATCTTGTTTTACGGCTCATCAGGTTTGTCACCCAACTTTTTTATCAAACACATAATTTTTATTTCGCTGAATCGTGCAATAATAAAAAAAAAAGTAAGGTTAGAGTTAGGGGTGGATTCAGGCCGGGCCGAGTCCGGGTCGGGCCTAGGCCCGGGCGGGCCGGCGGTTCAGAATTGGTGGACCCGAGACCGACCCGGCCCCCGAGTAGCATCCTTTGGTGTATTGCTATTACTATTACACAATATTATACCGAGTAAGAGTAGGGGTGGACCGGGCCCGTCTGGTTCCAGTTCGGGCTTGGGCTGGGCTGGGCTTGGAGGGTTATGAGTAAGGCCCGGAACCGGCCCAAAGTCTATCAGTTCCGGGCCGAGACGAGCCCAGGCCGGTTCCATTTCAATTTTTTTTTTTTTGCTTTCTTATTTATTTGAACTCCCAACCCCCCACCCCCAAACCCCTCAGAAACACCCAGCCCAACTAAACCCAGCCCATACCAAAAAAAAAAAGGCCCGAACCGGGCCGGTTCGCCTTTGACAAGGCCCGGAACTAGGGATGGACCCGGGCCGGGCCGGTTCCGGTTCCGGGCCGGGCCCGGGCGGGCTTTTTTTCGGGTTACATGGGCCCGGAACCGGCCCGGGTTGATACCGGGTCCGGGCCTAACCGGGCCGGGCCGGGCCGGGCCCGGTTCAATGTTTTTTTTTTTTTTTTTTTTTTTTTGACTTTCTTGTTATCTCCCTTACCCCCCCCCCCCTCACCCCCACGCCCCAAACCTCCCTAAAACACCCAGCCCTACCCTAGGAAAAGAAAAAAAATTGAAAAAACCAAAAAAAAAAAAAAAAAATGAACCGGGCCCGGCCCGAACCGCCCGGGCCGGTTCAACAAAAACAGGGCCCGGAACCGGCCCGCCCGACCCGCCAAAACGGGCTAAAAGCCCGGAACCGGCCAACCGGGCCCGGTCCGGTCCGGGCCCGCACAGTAGCGGGCCGGTCCGGTTCCGGGCCGGTTCGGCCCGGCCCAGTCCATCCCTACCCGGAACCGCTTACCCCCCCCCCCCCCCCCGGACGGGCCTAAGCCCGGAACCGGTTTCCCGGGCCGGTTCTAAACAGTACCGGGCCGGTTCCGGGCCGGGCGGCTCGAACCGAGTCCATCCCTAATTAAGAGTTTATTTTGTAACTTGCATCGATTTACAACTAACAAATTAACTCTTTTTCAACAACAAAAGAGGAATAAAGATCTTCCAAATCACGAAAGGATATATTTACAAGACATTTTTTCCAAGCAAACTAAAAAAGTGAATTGAATTCTCCAGAATTCAAAATGAAAGTAGTGTGTGAGAATCACTGATCAGGTTTCCTCATGGAGAATAAGGTTAGTGGTTCTTAAAGGCTCAGTAGCTTCAAACAATAGTTTTGCAGCCATTCAGCTGTTGATTTTAGGATACGAAGCTCACCACTGAGGAGGTCATAAGCCATCAGATGCCTTTTGTTTACGATGTCCCCAGAAGTAAGCCGCTTCAATGACTGCAACCAAATATGGCAAAATGTTAGGCAGACACCTCTCCTGAATTCCTGATACTAGAAAAAAGAAAAAAGGATGGCAGCTTTGACTTTTGACCTTGTAGACTTTTACACTAATAAGTAATAAAGGTAATACACGCTGGGCAGAGCCCAATAAAATTGACTCTTGGCCTAAGATGAATCCATCCTTTCAATAATATGCCCTCCATCCGAAAATAAAAGCACATTTTAATATTTAACCCTTGTTTAAGGTATAAGATTAAATGCATTTTCTTTCTTTTTAATGTCTAAAAACATTGAATCCAGGAAGAGGTAGCATTTAATGCAGGAGGAGTTAATAAGAGAAAAATTGGAAGAATAATAATCCGCATGATGTATTAAAACAAGCACTGGATTCCTAACCTGACAATCAATTTGGAACAAACAATCTTGGCTACAGCAACAATTAATACGGGACTGGATGAGTAAAAATATAGGAGTTGTCAAAACCGTAAAGGAAGTTCTATAGGCCTGATTGTTTTGAGATCTTTGTGAGTGCCCGTAAGGTTTTGCGAGTTGCGTGGATTAGCTCATGAGGGTAGCAAATTACTCCATGGGCTAAAGCATATGTATTGATTATTAAGTTATATAGTCTTGTACTCTTGTTTATTAAACTCAAACAATGTGCGTGCTTAGTTTTTGGCTTCTCTATTTTCCTTCTGTTAGCACTTCGTAGGAGGAATTAACTTACAGATTCATAAGTTTAAGTCCAGCATTATGAGGGTTTGCTCATCCCAACCCATGACACATAGCCCAGCCATGAGCCAGGTTGGGCTGGACCAGACGGCCCATTTGACAGACAGCTCTAAGGAGAACACTAACCAAATTGGACTAATCCTAAAGGTATAAACTCCCCCAAAGGTTAACAACTACGTAACTTTGTACATTTCTAGAATTTCATATCATAAACTATGTGTCATTACATACCTTAATAGATGTATCATACATTTTGATGAAATCAATTATTATCATAAGCAGGAATCTATGAGCTTCGACTTCTCTACACATATCCCTAAGTGGACGCCTAGCCAGGCGACCATCATTTTCCGCAGCTTCCATTTCCAATGCATTTAGTTCTGTGAATATGACAAAAATGACCATGATCAAATACTATTTAAAAGTTTCAGCAGGATGCACTCTTTCATCAAACAGCATAGTATAAGTAACTAAACAAAAAAATGTTAAGACCTTGAGGAGATTTTGAACACATAACACGAGCATATGCTCGGAAGGATTGTGGAATACCCTTCCCTTTACCTTGAGCAGACTTTACTTCCCTGGAGAGGAAAATACATAAAATAAGTTACGAGAAAGAGCATGCCAGTGAGAAAAGAGGTCAATGTGCTAAATAAAAAGTTCAAGGTTTTTATTTTGGAACTGAAAGTGACATTTGAGATGAAACCTTGAAGAGAAGAAGGTTATTGAGTACATAGAGACATAGCTATAAATAGTGGGAGGTGATTATTGCCAAACTATGTTATGTATTCTCTAACCAAATAAAAAAATACGCAAATCCTTGATTCCTTGATGACTAATCCATTTCACAAAACCAGCCAGATGCAAATACTCATTTTCTTCATCGATCTGATAACTCTGCATTAGTCAATGCTCAAGAGCAGTTCACATCAAAAGGCAAACATATTGGGCACTAACATCTTGAAGCCAGAATTGCTTTGAGAAATATGATAAAGAACATTCAGAACCATTCTAGTAAAATTCTAAAAGTTCAATGACACTCCATCCATCCCAAGTTAAATGAAGCTTTATAAAAATGCATACATATTACGAAACCTTAAAGGCTGATTTTTCTGTCCCTATAAAAGTTCTATTCATAATTGCATTTTATTTGTTTTCAAGGTACAAAAACATTTAAAGTGCGAAAAGTTAATATAGCAAATGGAGAGTAGTAAAAGCTATGTAGTTGAAATTATTTAGAGAGAAATACAACCACATAAATGCTTTACTTAAAAGGAAATGGGGGATAGTTTTGGAGCAAACCAGAATGAGAAGAAAGTTTGTACGGAGAATTATTCAGAGACGTACAATTTATTTGGACAATAATGGATAAAAGACAATAAATTTGGGCTAGAGGGAGCATAAAACAAAATGACCACGTATCAGAAAAGATGAAAACGTGGATTTACGCTTCTGGTTCATGGAATTCCTACTAAACAAGTACCCCTCCATCCCAAATTGTTTTCCTTTTTTATCCATCCCAATATAATATTTATCTTTCCTTTGTATATATTAAATTTCAACCACACAAATCCATTTTAGCTGGATAAGCATACCATGTCAGACCAGAAAGAATGATTTGGGAGTAACGGAGTAAGATTTTGTACATTCTAGTTTGACTCTGCACTATGTTGTGCATAGTGATACAACAACAACAGCATCCAAGCCTTATTCCCATAAGAATGAATAGTGATAAATTAGAAAATTCTGGTTATTTCTCAACCTATTTATCTTGAATGGCATAGACTATATTTAGACATATATTTGAGATTTTATAGAGTAGGAACATAACATAATATGTGACCATAGCATTTAATCCTCTTTAATCATATTTTGCTCATTTACAAAGTTTCTGTTTATCAAGATTTAAGGCTAAGCTTTCCAAAGACTTGCCAACCAAACACCTCTAAAAACCTTAATCCACAAACAGACACTTGATGTCCCTTCTTGACCCACAATAATCCTCTTCTAGAATGTTCTGTTGTGATGTGTTGCAGAGCAGTTATTAGTAAGGTGTTAGAATGCATCTTGTGGTGAGACAATCAGAAGAGAGGTAAATGCTGGCATAAAAAAGGTATGTACGAAAGTACGAACTTGAGTATGAAGGAATTTCCAGGAGAACTGAATCCATTGGCATCCTTTGTTGCTCGTGTGCAGTATCTGCTTAGAAGTTTCAACTTCATTGAAGAAAGATGGTCTTCCTGAGGCAAATTTAGTTTGACTTCCACCTGATAGTAAATGATGTCATTCATGTTAAAGTACGATAACGAATAAGCATGTTAAAGAAAGCATAAAATATAGATATGTAGAATTAGGCTTTGGATAAGCCCTTGTTCATTGGAAGACTATGGTGGGGAGGAAAGTGGATGAGTTATAGGCTCCTCCAGACTCCTCATATTCACCCTTCTAATTGAAGGCATTTTGAGGGGGGTGATTTCTTTCCTAATTTCTTTTTGAGTTTGTTTAATCAAATTGTTCTATATCAATTTTGTTATAAATATAGGTTACTATATTTTTAAAAGAAAGAAGCTTACTATATTTTTAATTACAAACATATATACTAAACATAACACCTTTATAAAGTATTCATTCCTCCCTCCTCCATTGAACCAAACATAACATTTTTTCTGATTTCTTCCATCAATCAGTCCATGGTCCTCTCTCCCCCTCTCCATATATCTCCTCCCATTCTCTCCCCTCTTTTCGACCAAACAACAACATCCAAGCCTTAGTCCCAAAAGAGTTTGGGGTCAGCTAACATGAAAGAGGAAAGGTAAACTTAAGTGACAAAATATTATATGTCGGTAGAAACAATGGAAAAAGTCATAAATTTTCATAGCAGGAAACAGGTGTATAATTGCTTAAATAAACTTGACAGCAAAATCAATTATTAAAAAAATCATATATGAAGTCATGACTCTGACTCGTATCTAAGGCCAAAAGTTGTAAATTGGACCCCTTGTATCCTTGACAGTGTGTCAAATTTTTGAGTGTCATAGCGAAAATAGCACTTGAATAAATGAAGATGAGTATGTTTTATTGCTTATAACCTACTGATAGTAAGGGCATCCTCATCCATAGGTTTATTTAGGGATTAATTTAAGGATGTGGCATATTATTTTAAGGATTGTGATTGAGGGCAATAGATCATTTAGCTGGATTATTTGGAAAAAAAATATGGTACCAAGATTACAATTCCGGGTTATTTTAGACTGAGTATTATTTTTTAGGAAGAGTTTTGAACTTTGAGATTATTTAAGATTTATCGTGTGGCAATTACAACAAAGAGAAAACAGTTTATTTGAAGAACTTGAGTGGATATGCCCTTAAGAATGCTAGGGTCTAGTATTGATAATTCATAGATGTTACACTAATATGTAAAACACAATGATGTATGCACAGACGCACAGTTCAATGACTTCATTCAAACGTTCGTACCGTAAAAAAATAGATTCCAGAATCAGGATTCAGGACTGAACTATAACCTGGTCATATGTATTAAAAGGGACTGTAAATCCAAAATCTAAAAGTAGAGTCGCATTTGAGAACTTTCCATAACTTATTAGGACCTGTATAAAAGAGTGGATAATTCTCAGAATCCATTAACATCATACATGTTAGATGGCGATGAACAGCAATGATAAAATTAAAAGCTACAAATAGAGGCAGATCAATTTCTATTTGATAACTAAGTGTTCAATAGTTGAGATTTAAGCACCATTGGGATTTAACCAAAAAGCAAAATATATGCATCAAACATAATTCACCAGTTTGATTTTGATTTTGAAGTTCAATAGTTAATTTTGATTTTGACAGTTGATTTTGATTTTGAAGAACAAAGAGAACATTGCAACATCAAAGCAGAAGAGTTTTCAATATTTGTAGAAGGAAAAGGATGACTAGTTGGCTACACTAGTTACAAAAAACCTGATCACCAGGAGCATAATCACGACCAGCAATCACCTGCACCTCAGAACATAAAGGTTAAAGTGATAAGGTTCACAAAAAATAAGGTATGCAAGTAATATTTCATTGACATGGATTAAACCATGTAGAGAAAGAATGAAGAAAGCTAATTGTAATGATACAACACTCTATAAGTGACAGCATAGGGTGCACTATATATAGGCACCACTTAAGAGATAACCACAAGGCAAAATGTATGTATAGGTCTGCTAAAATGCTGCTTTGACAGCAATGTGATTGATCTAGAGCGACTTTAGGTAGCTTGAAGATCCTTAGAATCAACGTGTTTTATATACTTCAATACTCTCCTTTAAGCTGGACAATCATGTGCTTAAAACTTGTTACGAACATTTTTAACAGACTATACAAATGACTTGACTTTTTTTTGACAAAAGAACAAATAACTTGACTTTAACTTAAACCATTGTGGTAAAATTTCCCAGCAGCCCCCTTCCCCCATTATTCCTTGCAAAGGGATTATCTGCCCTGCTTGACTATATTTTCTCTTGTTTAGGGTGGTTTATTTCCACATAGATCCGACATTACCGCCTAACCACGATTAATCCCTATGCTTTTTAAACCATTGGTTTTAAGTTTACGAATCATGACTTTTAATTTGAACTTTAATTGATCCATCATTTGAAAGAGACTATAACAATAAACTACACAATCGTGCATCATCCGAGCACTCTTTCCTTCTTTTTTCATCACATTAGATAAATGATAAGCAACAACATGTCTAGTAAATCACAAGTCAAATCCCCAATCTTAATATTGAAATCCAATTAAATTGCATTAAGTAATAATAGGACTGTTGGAGATATTTGGTGCGCAAAAAACAGAGATGATCATGAATAATGATGTAGGAACGCCATGATTTTTTTCCAATGAGGGTTGTCAATTAATCGGTAGAATCTGAGGTCATCGAAGGAAAAGCTATGAATGTGCCATCGTGGGAGGTGGGGGAGACCCTTTGTGGCTTCAACTCCTAACAATCAGTCACAAGAAGAATTGAACTAATGGTACTGACAAACAACACAAGTTACTGTCAGTGTTTTATCAATAATTCAATATACATACTTTTATGCCATTTTGTGAAAGAGAGAAGATAATTTATGGTACTAATAATGTGAGCCCACAATAGATCACATCAAAAGGTGTGTATGTATACAGGCACCAGCTAGGTGACAGAAAAAGGCCGAAATGTTTGCTATAGAGCTACGAAAATGTTACTTTGAGAACCTTGATTGATCTAGGGACACTGTTACAATAGCCACAACTCACTCTGCCTAGGTGCTAGGCTCTCTTGACCATCCGTCTTTTTCTAATTTTAGCCCCATCTAATCTGCCAAGGCCCCAACTAATCCTAGCTCAAGCCCAATTAGATGCTAGTCCCCAGTCTACGCCTAACGCTTTCTAGAAGTGTCTGGGTTCTTTAGGGAGGCTTAGCAGCCGCTAAAAAATACCCATGCATAATACTTCAACCAACCAAATAAAATCTTGTCTAAAAATGACACTTAGAACCATGTAGGAGCATTTTTTCAAATAATTCTATATGACTATCATATTCGCAATACAGAAAACAGCATTATGAAAAATGTTTTCTTCAACAATCTGTGTGATAATTAAATATCCAACACAGTCAACACATATTAAGTTTTTATTTAATATTTTTATTTTGGATATGCTCAGAGTCAAGAAGCATCAGGAATAGATAATATGAACCTCTGAGAGTTGTTCCTCTTCATCATTCAAAACGCATGAATCTGAATGACCATCGTGATTTAAGAAATCTGCAAAGGGAATCTAAGGAATAGTTAGCAAGGACTTTTTCCTAATGAATAAATTTCACTTTTGGTCTTACGAGTATTACACCAATTTCATAATTGGTCCATGTTTTTTACTTTGACCATTAATTTTTGGTACACAACTATTGCTTCTTGCCCATAGATGGTCCTTCTATCAATATTTCTGGTGGTTAAAGTCGCCACAGAGGCATCGGAAAGTTGGGCGGAGGGACCACAATGGTCAAAAATATTAGTCAAGTACCAAGAGTGGATAAAGTGAAAGGCAAGGACCAAATGTGAAATTAGCATAAAACTTGTAGGAACCAAAAGTGCAATTAACTCTTTCAAATGGATGTCATACTTCTAACTCAACCTCTTGAAGCAAAATTAGTTGATCAAAGGCATAAAGCTAATAAAAGAATAAATATTGATAGAAGAGTGTTGGTTGTTTATTTAGTCATGACAAACATTTATCCAACAATCACAATTGATCACATATCTTATTATTAAGTACCATAAATACATCATTGAGGCTTTCCCATGCTCTAGAAGTAACTGAAATTATTTGAAAAAAAACTAGTCAAAAAAGATGCATAAAATTTATATCTGATCAGTATAAAAGCTGAAACTGTTCATACGAGCTCGTAAAATTTAAACTAGCATCACAATAAAGGTGTTTGACAACTGAAATTGACCTAAAGAATATGCGTACTTGAAGTCCTCTAATGTGATTGCCATATGAAGTTGAGAGAAGTGGCATAGAGCCTGAAATTGTGTAATACGAACACCATAAACATCAGTCATACGAAAAATTGCAGCTGAATATTCAACTAAGAATTTCTTCATGATTATGATTCATGAAGAAAAGAGACTGCATGATTATGATTCATTTGAATATATTCAAGCGCTTGACCATTGAAACCCATGTTAAACAATAACAACATTAAGACTTGAAAAACAAAATGTCGCTACTTAACAATTTTAAGTATTAAGAGTACAGTTAGCCAAACCATGTGAGGACATAAAAAAGGATCGAAACACTACAATAAAAAATAGTTTTCAGGGAATACCAGTGATATTGACAAATTCAGCTAGCAGTAAATGGTTGAATTGGACTAAGCAAAGTGTGGAGTGTGGACTGCAGAGTGCCATACTAACCTCTGTAATCACAAAAAAATCAGTTTCAACAATATTCTTCTGCCAAAGAGTTTCCTGATATAATGGACTTCGAGAAACCATATCTAACTCATCATCCTTCCAGAGTATCTGCAGGCTCAAAGTGCAATTTGTAAACTTGATACCCAAACAAAAAGAACCATAATCAGATAACAGAGCAATGGCAGAGCCAAAAATGCTATGTTAAAGGGGCAGAACTCAAAAACAAATTACGGGGAGTGCTGCAGGCCCTCCCCCTCTCCGCCGCTGTAACAAAGCTGAAAATGGCAAGATCAGTTGATTTTTATTACTCCTCACATGCCTATTTTATCTCTTATTTTGACTTTGTCTGCTTTTTAAGAAAGTGAAAACTGTGTGGTAAAGATTTATTTTAGAAGGACATAATATCAAGCACAAAATTTGTTCCTTTAAAATGAGAAGCACGGAGATTAGAAAAGGAGAGGGAGTATACATCACGTGTGTCGTGTGAATGTGTATATAATTTACCGTGTTATGCATCTGTGCAGGTTGTGGAAGACGCCTAATGTAAGGAGCCCAATCAGATTTCTGCAAGCAATTGGGGAACAAAGAGACCACTTGGTGCCACAGTCACACTTATGTACCAAAGTGCAAGTAGAAGGCACAAAACGAAGCTAAAGCATGTGACATTTTTTACCTCACCCAACTTCTGCTCATATAAAACAAGTAAAGCAACTTTTGCCACATTGCTGACCCGGTCCCCTAACAAGGAATTGATTCCAGAAGGAAGCTTATTTGAGGACATTTGCTGTAATTATAGTTCTCATCAGTCAAGAATTGACATAAAACACAGGTATACAGAAATAATTTGAATATCAACTAGCACACCTGACTATATGGGACCTTTAGCATACAATCCCCAGCTTTTATAGGCTTACAAGCAACCAAACACCTGCATACTTGGATCATGAATACCAGATACTCCAATTACCTATTTATCTAATATCATATTTAGACATAAAAAATGTACCATGTTATGTAAAAGTATCCACATGAGAATTCACAGAATCAGAATAACTCAGGGATATCAGTCACAGAACTATGTGTGTTTCGGTAACATGTAACACCCAATAAATGGGTAATGCTACAGCTATACTAAAAAATTGATCAAGTGTCGTGGCCTGGTGATCATTAGCAGATGAAGAAACTAAGTGTGGTTGGGTTTAGTTATTCTTTTTTATCAGTGTTGCTTAACTTCTTTATATCAGCAGTCCCTAGACAGTTTCATTGTCATGATTGGGCATCCTGTCCGTAAGATGTTGTTAAAAGTTATATAACTGTTAGATGACATGTAGTTAATGTACCTTGAGTTGGTTATACTGATTCATTTGTGTACGTGACTTGCTTGTATGAGTTAACATATGTAATTATGTATTAGATGTGTTGATTCAAACCACTGTTACTTTAGCGGCCTTCATCCCACCTCAGTATGATTACTGGATCCACTACCACCAACATTAGTACTTACTAATTGTAGGGAATGTTTTACATTCAGAACATTTATCGGAATGTTTGGTATTGATTCTACTTCTACTTCTTTTTTAAAAGCAAAAACGGAATTAGAATCAATTTTTAAGAAGTTGGTCTCCCCAACTTCTAAAAAAATGCTTCTAGGAGCAATTTGGAGCACCCAGAAGTACTTCTCAGTTTAACCCAAGCACTCCAATATCTACTTCTACTCCCTGAAGGAGCAGAAGTAGTTTTAAGAAGTGGATCCAAACACCCCTAAGTTGTCTATTCATAAGGCTTTTATCATTTATAACAAATGTGTATAGTAACTACTATTAAAATGATATTTATTATACATAAAATGTATTTATTATCATCATGATTATCAGTATGATTAAATCATCTATTCTTTATGTGAAATAACTTTGCAACAAATTTTGTACATTTACCCAAAAAAAAATGAAAGATTTTTTCTATATTTCAACCAAAATGAAAATTATTATCAGAAAATGAGTAATTTTCGAAAAGGCATATTACTGGAAACATTTTCCATATTTTCAAACGGACAGTTCTAAATACTTGATTATTGATCAGTTTATGGTTTTATTCTATTTAAGCTATTATTATATCAAAATTATGAGCCCGTTTGGTAACACTAAAGTTGGTTGATCCGCTAATCCTGCTGAAATTTATGAAGTTTGATTGAAGTGTCTGATTCTGCTTAATAATGAAAAAATAGCTAAAATGGTCTAGTAACTTCAGCCCATTAGTGTACATTCTAGAGTGATAAAGGTTAGGGGTGTTTGGAACTAATTCTACTTCTGTTTCTTTTTCAAGGCAAAGCAGAATCAGAATACGTTTTCGGAAGCCCATTACCCCAACTTCTAAAAAAAACTGATTCTAGAAGTAAATTAGAGCATCAGAATTACTTCTTCACTTTCACCCGAACACCGCTTCTGCTTCGTAAAAGAGAAAAAACAGTTTTAAGAATCGGATACAAACACTCCTACTCTATCACTACTATTAGTTTGCTACGGAAACCGACTACTCCAAATTAAGATTTAAAAAACAAAATATAATGTATGCATTTTTTTGTATGTATTACTATATACATTAAATAAAACAAAAAGTTATGCCACGTCTTATCTGGTGGATGAGGCCAAAAGGACAAAATAGTATGCGAGTTCGGACCTTCCATACGCGGATTCTCCGATGGATAGGACGGAAGATACCTCTGTTCCGGCTTTGAGCTCCAGCCACGGCAAAAAATCGGCGCAATCCCCGACTATGCGGGCTGGTGCCTGCAGTGCAGAGAGCCAAAAGCATATTCAGTGCTGCAAGTCATACAGCTCAACTGAGGGATAATCAAAGAAAACATGTGTTGCGAACTTTAGTTGAATGAGCGAATGACGTGGAGAAATATAGCTTGCATTTTAGACGGCGGAAGAGATTGTTAAATAAGAGAGGGTGCTGAGACCGCCAGGTGTTTGATAATGTGCTTCTGCTTGCCGGCATGTTTTTCATTTTGCGAGTTCAGTTAGGAGTGGGTTCTATCACGACCACTCTTTGAAACTATCAGCCGTATTGGGAGCACCAAAATCAGATTGGTAGCACCAAAATCGGATGAAGTACTAAAATTTATGAAGTTCTGGATGAAGTGACTGTGTTGGCTGATTCTGCTGATTTCAGAAAAAAAAAATTAAAATATATTTTATTAATAAAGTAAAGAAAAAGTTATATGTAAAAATAGCTAAAATGGTCATCTACAGTAACTTTAGCCAATACAGTCAGAAAAGTAACTCCAACCTTACTTTTTAGGCTTATTATATAATTCCGCGCGCGAAAGCAGAAGTTACGTGTTTGGTGAAAAAATGGCTGATAAGCCTGATAAGTCGAAAAAAAGTGGTTTCAAACGGCCTCTATTTGCGGGAAATTCTTCGTGATCCCAACAATCCGGATACTATGTCGGTCTGCAATTACTCCCTCCAAACAGAAATAGAAACAGAAATAGATTCGATTTGCACTCCCTTCTGGAAACAAAATTGAATTTGCATTTCATTTCGCTAGGGAGACCAACTCTATACAATTCCATAAAAATCCATTAAAATCTAAGATCCGTTTGACAATACTGTTTTCGGCTTATTAGGCTTATCAGCCAACTTTTTAACCAAACACGTAATTTTTGATTTTGTGCGCTGTATTGTGTAATAAGCATGAAAAGTAAGGTTAAAGTTACTTTTCTTACCGTATTGGTTGAAGTTACTATATATGATCGTTTTAACTATTTAACATATAATTTTTTCTTTATTTTATTAATATGGAAAAATTGACAACAATAATCCCACATTTCACTGGTCTGCTTATAACAATCTCACCTTTGCATAATCCCAAATAATCTCACCTTTGCAGCTCATCTTCTCTCATTCGACCATGATAGGTTAATGACCTACTATGAATAAATTCCACTTTTGGACTACGAGTTTTATGTCAATTCCACATTTAGTCCATGTTTTTCACTTTGACCACTTTTGATACATGACTATTGTGTTTTCGTCCATATGTAACCCTTCCGGCCATGTTTCCGGTGGTTAAAATCGTCGGAGGACCACAAATGGTCAAAAACATTAGTCAAGTATCAAAAGTGGACAAAGTGAAAGACATAGACTAAATATGGAATTGACATAAAACTCGTAGGACCAAAAGTGGAACTAATTCGACCTACTATATTAGGTTTTTTTTGTTTTCCTTTTTTCAACTTCTTGTTAATTTATTTATGTAAGATTTTCAAGAAGACAGAAAAAGCCTAATATAGTAGGTCATTAACCTATCAGGGCTCAATGAGAGAAGAGCTGCAAAGGCGGGATTATAATTAGCAAAGGTGAGATTATTATGAGCAGACTAGTCAAAGGTGGGATTATTGTTGTCAATTTTTCTTTAATAAAATATATTTTAAATTTTTTTCCCCTTAAAACAGCAGAATCAGCCAATGCAACCACTTCATCCACAACTTTATAAATTTCAACAGAATCAGCCAAATTAGCCGATTTTCGTGCTACCAAACGGGCTCTTAATCGTTTAAAATCTTATGAAATTCTAATGGAACACGCCCCCTTAAAAACCATCTCATTCAAAAACTTTTCTTCACAAAATGTTATTAGATGGAGCAGAAAGTCAAAGTTTTTCCAGTGCAAAGTTCAATATCACCTAAAAAGTTAGGTGTAAAGTCAAATTCCCTCAATGGAAATTTGAGTGTTTGATTGTAAAGGTAAAAAGTCATCATTTTAGTTTTCATTTATCCTAGTGCCGCAAAGGTTCCACCTACGGTGGGGTAAGGGGGTCGGATGTGCGCAGTCTTACACTCTTACCCATGTACTAAAACACAGAAAGACTGTTTCTGGATGACCCATAGTGAAAATCGCGTCCAAAATTGCATGGACTGACTGCTGCTTCGTAACAAAGAAGCAAAGACAGTTTAGTGAGTCATTTTGCTTTATTCCATCATATTTTCAAGCCAAAAAATAATGTTTTTTTTACAAGAAATAAAATTATCAGAAAAAAATTACAAAGTTTTCGAGGGGCTACACCTGGCCCAAAATTAAATACAAAATGAGAATAAATCACTTATGAGACTCGGAAATAGCTCAATCCCAATTTATCAGTCAAGAGGGAGCATCGAATATAACCTGGAAGCTGCTTATAGTTAAAATAAGTGCACATATTATCCAAATGCAGTTTAGATAAATGATGAGCTGGCCAATTTATTTCACTGAAAATATGTCTGAACACCAACCGGTTTTCATCCATCAATCTTCTAAGCTCTTCTACCAATCTCCTCCCTCGTCCTTCAATATCGCGTCCCAAAATCGCATCCGCCACCGAGCTCGAGTCAGATTCAACCTCGAAGCTGTGATAACCATGTTGTAACGCCCAAGAGACAGAGTAATAAATCGCCTGAAGTTCGGCATCGACCACAGAAACCGCAGACAAAGGGAAGTGAACACCGGCAACGAAATCTCCCAATCGCGGCCTAAGGACTGCTCCCCCTGCTGCCTGAGTGCTACTGTATGAGGCGTCAACATTCAATTTGAAGTCCAGAACTGGTAATTCCCATCTCACCGCTTGAATCTTTATCTTCTTAGATTTAAAAGAGGAGGCCAGTAGGCGTTCTTCATACAACATCGAACTAGGCTTTCCTAATTTGAGTTTCCTCAATTTTGCATCAGACCAAATTTGAGTGTATGCTTTGATTTTATGGACAACCTCCTGGTAATGTCCAACCTCTTTCGCCTCCCCCCATTTCAAATGACAATAAGATTTTCAGATATGCCATGATATGATTCCTGCCATATTGTGCTTGAAAACATCCATAATAGTCTTGGAACCAGCTTCTAGCCACCAGGCAATAAACATTTGCCTTAAAGTGCTATGCCTGTTCATAATTGGTATTTGAAAAATTCCTAAGAAATATTTCCATATATTCCAACTGAACTGGCAATTAAGAAGAATATGATCCATGTTTTCAGAATCCTGTCTGCAAAATGGACACATAGAAGGGTATACAGTGAGATTAAACCTTCTCAAATTGTCAGGAAAGGGAATAATTCTATTGATAGCCTTCCACTGAAATATCTGAACTTGTGTTTGCTGATGTTTGTTCCAGGTGTGAATAGAGGAGAAGACAGTATTATGGGTTCTTCTAACTTGATGAAAGGCAGAGGATAGAGTAAAAGAGCCACTACTATCAGGAATCCATATCCATTCTCCCTTCTGATCCTGCTTGCAAAGAGACTGCCCCAAATTGTGAGTCATGCAAATTCTTTTCCATATTACAGAGTCTGTAGATTTATACACCATACTATTTCCTCGGGGGTATCTAGTATGACAAAAATTTGCCAATATGGATCTGTTACACCTCCATTTCCACCAAATTTTAAGAGAATATGCCTTTTCAACCTCAGAGAGGGATCTTAAACCCAAACCCCCCTCTTCATAAGGCAGGCATAGATTTTTCCAACTCTTCCAATGAAATTTACTCTTATTGGCATTAGATCCCCAAAGAAAATGAGACATTCTTCTCTCCAAACTTCTTATAACAGCCTTTGGAAATGTATCAACAGCAAGGATGTGCAGTGGAATAGTGTTGAGAACATGCTTAATCAGAATTAATCTGCCTCCGAAATTAAGATGTTTTTGCTTCCAGGTAGTAAGTTTCTTGTCAAATATCTGCAAAATTCCCCCACAATAATTTTTCCTATTTATTCCTTTATGCAGGGATGATCCGAGATACTTCATAGGCAGATTGGTCTTTGTTATGCCTAGTAGCCTTTCCATATTCCTTATTCTAGCCAGGGAAGTTTTGCCACAAACAAAATTACTTTTATCAAAGTTAATTGCTTGACCTGAAGCTTTTTGATAAATACTCAAAAATCTTTTAAAAGCCTGAATAGACCTAGCTTCCCCATTAAGAAAAACTAAAATGTCATCAGCATAACCCAGATGAGAGACAGAATGTCCAACTGGTCCAATCCAATAAGGTTTGATTTTATTTGACGAAATCAATCTCTTAAGACCTCTGGATAACACTTTAGTTGCCAGAATAAAAAGATATGGAGAAAGAGGGTCTCCCTGTTTAACACCACTCTTTGGCTGAAAGAAACCTTTTGGTGAACCATTAATAAGCACAGAGAAGTGAGTAGCCTTTAAATGATTAAGCACCAATGTAACAAAACTCTTTGAGAACCAAAACTTTAGGAGCATTGCTTTCAAAAAGGACCATGAAAGCCTATCAAAAGCTTTTGCCATATCTAATTTAACCACGATATTTGTTCCCCTAACCTTCCTGTCAATAGAGTTAATCATTTCCTATGCCACCATAATATGATCTGAAATATCCCTCCCCCCATAAAACCTGCCTGCTCAATGGATATTAATTTGGGAAGAATAGTAAGCAATCTATTAGTCAGGACTTTTGTACACACCTTACTGACAAAATTTGATAAGCTAATAGGTCTGAAATCTGAGAATGTTGATGTTTTGTCTTTTTTAGGAATAAGGACAATAAGAGAACTTGTCATAGCCTTAGGAATAACATTCCCTTGAAAGAAATCCTGCACCGCCATGATCACATCAGCACTCACAATTGCCCAACGATGTCTAAAAAAGACCCCATTGTACCCATATGGCCCTGAAGCATTATTCTTGTCTAATTCCCAAACTGCTTCTTTGATTTCTTCACAGGTGGGGAGTTGCAATAACATCAAATTATCATTGCTATCCATCAGTTCAGGTATATCTTCCAGAATGGAATCCTCAATATGTATTTCCTCTTCTGCAAAAATTCTTTGAAAATAAAGCTCTGCAGCCTGTCCAATCTCATATGTACCAGTGCACAATTTCCCAGTAGAGTCTTTAATAACAAATAGATATTGCGTTCTTCTTTTCACATTCACATATGCATGGTAAAACTTAGTATTTGCATCTTTTTCTTTTAACCATTTTAGATGAGATCTTTGTTTCCAAAACTCTTTTTCCTGCTTATGTTTCTGAATTAAAAGAGCTTGCTTGAAGGACCAGT